TAAAGTATGTATAACACTTTAGTCTAATTGTTATTGGTAAGAAGTATTTCTAGTTTTACAAACTAAAAAGATAATTTTTAAACGGTAAGATACTCTTAAAAGCAGTAATAGAAAGCTGTAATAGAACTAATTAGTTTTTGACAATTTTTCCCTAAAATGCTTCCATAGATAGGTACATATAGACGTATATACTTAGGTACCAAAAATTCCTTAAATTTTTTTTGACTTTTCCTTGAATTTCCCTAATCATATTTAAATATGCTTGAGTTAGGCGCATGATTAAATATGCTTTGGAAACTTTTATGCTTTTAAACGGATTGTTCTCAAAATTTTTTTTAAGCCAATGAAGAAACAAAAATTTATATAAAAAATATTTGCAATATTTTATATTTCGCAATAACCCCTAAATCATATAACAGATAAAAATATGACTCATATGCCGAATAAAAGCTTAGATAACAGTGTTGCCAGCTATGCAAAAATTGTTCTAGAGCTAGAGTCCGGCGTATAAGAATTGAGTTATACTCAAAATTTCAAAAAGTTAAAAAAAAAACCATCGAGATTGACTTTTGATAACTGTAACTCGGACATATTAAGTTGTGAACATAATCCCAATACAAAAGTCTTACCTACTCAAAAAGGTTTATATGTAATGGTACCTACATATATAGCAGAACAATCATATAATTTATTATTTCATGTCAATTTTAAAAATTTTAATTGTTATACTGATCAAAAATACCAGTACCAGGATATAAAAAATAAAAACTAGAATTAAATCTTGCAATTTCTGGAATACTCCACAAGTGTCAACATGAAATTCATATTCAAATTCTATATCAAATCGAAAAAATTGTATTTATATATGTATACGTATGTACGTGTGTTTACACACTATTTGCCCATTATTTTCAAAAATAATTAAAAATATTGATAATATTCAAAGCTTTTATGCCGAAAAAATTTATTCATTTAAATATTTACATATAAATAGACTTAAATCCAAAAATAGAATAAAAAAAAGAATAAATTTATATTTACACATACCTATACCTACATACTTTTTGTATGTTAATTTAAAGAAACCGTACCTGTGCATTTTCTAGCAAAAAATATTTACAAATGTGTCAAAAAGAATTAAAATACCTACTGTCCCGTCAACCTAAAATGATAAAGAAACTTACCTCAAAAAACAATATTGGAATAAACATAGTCATGTACACATGTATGTAAATATTATACAAATATATGTTTGTACACATATATGTATGTAGGTATGTCCGCATAAAAAAGAGGTTACTCTATTTTTTTTATTTTTGATATTTTTCTTATTTTTTTTTCTTTTATTTGCATTATTATTTTTTATAGCTTTGTCCATGAACTTCTTATTTTATACATAAAAAAAATTATTTATACAATTTATAGTACACATATGGGATCCGTATAGTGTTAGCACCTTTTTGAATTAGTGTTGATATATATATATATATATATATATATATGTACCTTGCTGTGCCTATCTGTATCTGCATATGAATATAAAATAAACGAATAATATGATTTCACATGCCCACACAAATAATTTGTTTATTAAATTTAATATCACACTGTTAATATTATGACATGAACTCTTCTTGTATTTATACAAAATTATCATACACACTATTATGTAGTCCATACATTCTAAACTATTCTAATCATACTTAATCATATATATAAATTGGAATTTTAAACATAAAAGGTTATAACTAAATATTTCACGTTTTGAAATTTTTATGGTTCTTGTTTTTAAAAATTTACTGATTATAGATAAGTACCACAGCTAAATATTATTACTATAAGTTTCCAAACTTCTAATTCTAAGTATCACTTTCATCACTAAAACTTAAAAATTGTTAAATTTAAATGCAAAAAATTGAACACTTAGAAACTTTAAATAAAATAAATACAAATGTAATGAAATTTTTATAATTGAAAATCATTATTATGAAATTGAACTATACCAAAAAATATTAAAATTGATCACAACTTGATCGTTGAATATTAAAAGCGATTTGAACTTCAAAGACACAATGGCCAATATCGCAGGGACCAAAAATCCGCCTCTATTCGATTCTTTTAAACATCTATAACCTACAATTTATTGGAATTTTACGTAAATTATGAATTTCTAAAGCTGTTTAAAAAATTTATGATTTCTCATTGACTATTTACTAAAATTTACTACACTAAAATAAAATGTCGATCTTTAAGCTTTTTTGAGATATGTTGATTAATGTTTATGATTGTGTCTTCACACTACGCACATTTATACAAATGTATAAATTGTTTATGTATTAGCACATGGGTATTCACTATATGTATGCTAAGAATATTAGATAAATGAAACAAAAATAAATTCAATTTTTAATCATATAGACTAGAATGAAATATTTTAATAAATAAAGCTATAAAAGAATAAAAACAATGAAAATAAAACGGAACGAAAAATAAAAGTACATTTTAATTTTGATATATGCAAAAATTAATAAAATTAAATTTAGTGCGGGTCAATAGTCGAACTCAAATCATGATTAAAAATGTTAATTAAAAATCGAACTGAATTGCAAAGTACTTATTTATTGTTGGAAGTAAATTTAAACACAATTTAAAAAAAAAGATTAGCGAAAAACCAAAAACAAAATTTAAAAGAAATATTAAATTGTCATTTCCATACGGAAATTGCGATATTGAAATTCCTGTTTTAATAAAGAGAAATTGGGGCTAATCTGAATATTGAAGCTTTATAGACACGAATCATTTGTATGAATTAGTTTGTATTTACAAAAAAAAAACATCGAACTTTTTACCATTATTCTATCATTATCGATACATAGAATAAACCCCTTTAATTAAGAAAGTTTCTGTTACAAGTAAATTACCAGAAAAATGCTAATTCGTACATGTTCGTATATGTATGTATATAGGGTAATACCACATTGAACAATAATCAATGACGAAATTTCACTTTGAATTATTAACTTTTATTCTTTTGAAATTTATCACAATAAATACTTATAATTTTTCTGTATTATGTAAATAAAACGAATTTTAAGCTCAAAATTTAATATTAATTTTAATTTGAATTTGAAATTTCAATTTCTGTGATTGATTTCACCGCTTTAGCATTTTACCAAAATATATAAAGATATTTTCAACTTTTACTCGTGGCTCATTACACAATGAGTGTTATTAAATATTTAATATATGTATTCGTCCCTGTATATTTACATGATTTAAAATATATTACTTATAATTTTACTTATCAACCTAATAAACGTGTAATATGTAATTTGTTAAAGTTACCCAATTTATAAATTATTTGGTTATATTTAAAAGCAAAGTGGCGTTTTGCTATTTTAAAATCTTAAACCATATATTAATTTGGGAAGAAATAATTTACCAACTTTACTAATGTAGATTTACAAAATAACTACAACTAGACTAACATAATTATCGTTGACGATAACTTAATTACGCCTTATATACTTATATACTATTATATATACTATATAATATTATATTATATGCTATTATATATATACTATATATATATTACGCCTTATATATTACATTGGAAACTTCTTTTTAGTATAACTATTTATTCATAAAAAAAATTCTATGTAGACTTAATAAAATTAAAAAATATTTAATTTAAATTTTAATATATTTTCAAATACCTAATAAAAGTTTAATAAACTTGATTAGCGTTTCACTGCAAACAGTCTAATTTATTACAGTCGAATTAATTAATTACATTTATCAAATTTATTTTTAAGTTTGATCATTACAAATGAATTGTAAGAGAATTAAAATGTATGAAGAAAATTCTGACGTATATTTTTACGGTTTCAGGTAAAGTCAAATTTTGCGCCAAACAGACTTTGCCTTGGTTTTATTTTTACGTAGATTTTATTTTTCTTTTAATAAACAATGGACTGTTTATCTTTGATTTCTATATTAGGAATTATTAATACATTTTTATATTAATTAATTAATATGACAATGTTGAATTATTTATGAACTTCGAAAAATCCAAATACTTTTGGCCATTCAAACAAACTTTTATAATAAAATTATTATTCTAATAAATTGTTGCTCATTTATAAACTTGTTTATGAATTTCAATAATTTCAATTAATTATTGATCATACAAATATTAGCACATGCGAGTATGCATTTAATATGTGCATGTATTTCGAAAATGTGGACATATACATGAGGAATATTTTAATATGAACTATACATACTACAATTGGGTACGCTAATATGTATACCCTTTCGGGCATAATTTTTTGTGCATATACCCGTACTTTTCCATTTCCTATTTGATTAGGAAAATTACATGTGGGCAAAAAATGCATTGCATACTTATAAAAGATTTTTGTTTATACGCATATTGCAAATAAGCGTCTTCAAATGTATATGTCGTAATTGTCATTTGAATTGATATGTCTAAAATACAAAAGTATACTTACATACATATTTGAAATATTTCATTTTTGAATCATCAATTAGTGGATTTTATTAGCCAAAAATTTAACAAATTCGTTTAAATATACAAAGATCTCAATGTAATGAACTTAATTCTGATATTCAGAATCCTTAGAATGCTTTAGAGAGAAGAGAAAATAAGGCATATAATGTGCAAGTGCCACATTTCAGTTAACCCTGGCTGAATTTTATGCATTTTATTTTAAGTAACAAGTAAAAATATTTTGTTTTCCACATCGTACCAATTCATCTTGTAACACATCAACACATATAATTTGTTTACATACACTTACATACATTCGAAATTGAAAATTCTAATTTTTGTATTAAAATTATAATTTTTTCGCCCACCCATATAATTAAGACATACATACATAATTTATATACATACAAAAATATGTTTGTTCATCATAAAATGACAAAAAAAAAATAATTTAATAATTCAGTTTTAATTTTTTATTTTTTAGATTTTTGGCCTTTAGACCGGCAGAAATTTTCAATAGTACTTACTGTAACTGAAACAAAAACGAAAACAAAATCCAAAAATAAAAAATTTCTATAATTAAAAAAAAAATTAATAAAAAACGAAAAAACAACAAAAAAAGAGCAAACAAAAACATTTAGTCTGAAAAAACTATTAAAAAAAAATCATAATTGAAAAATTTCTAAGAAAATTTTTGATATTTTGTCAATAATAACCCAAATTTGCTAATATAAAAAAAATATTCATATGTATGTATGTAATTAAAAAGTGATTAACATTGAATCATTTGCATAAAATTCCATACAAATATTTAAAAAAATAAAAAAGAGCAAAACAAAACCGCGCAATCTTTAAATGATAATAGGAATGAATTATCAAAATTGTATTAAAATTTATATGAAATTGTGTAGTTAACACGGACGCAAAATGTGATATTAGAACTTTTTATTAGAAAAATATTAACAACATATACTCGTATATACATACATACTGCTATACAAAATTATGTATTAAAATATAGTAACGAAATTAACATATAAGAAAAATTCTAAATAAATGTTTTTGCTTTCTTTGTATAATTCTCTAATCAGCAAAAAGAGGTTAATAATATAAATTTAGAAAAAAAAATATAGTAAATCCAAGTCAAACATATGTATAAACATATACAATAAAAAATATATTAAAATTGGCAACCAAAAAAAAAAAAAAAACGCACACAAATATACTAAACAAAAAAAAAAAGAAGAAAAGAAAAGAAAAATGAAGAAAATAAATTTAATAAATTATTTAGATTTAAGAAATATTTTAATATTTATAATAACAATTAAAATAATTATTGCCACCGAAACTACTAATAATAATAATTTAAATAATATTAATAAAATACCATTCGAACGAAATTCGAATTCGAATTCAAATCAAAATAAAAATCAAATTGTAAAAAATATTAGTTTTGAAGAATCCGATGATGAAAACGAAGATGAAATTATAAATGATAACAGTGATGATGATGTGCATATCACAAACAGTGATAACAAAAATAATAATAATGAAAGTAACATAAATAATTTAAGAAAAAATAATGTAATAACAACAACAAGTTCATCCATTTCATCAATTTATGGTAACAATCCTAGGGAATCTTATAACTTTAATAATTTTCAATGTTTTAGTAAAGAAGAAAAAGGTGAGTTAAATATTATTTAATTTTATTTATTATAATCTATAATAATTATTTTAATTTAAGTACTTATATAGTTTTAAAAATATTTGATATAATAAAGTTGGGTGAAATCAATGGTTCATAAATTAGCACTTTACCCTTAAGCAAGTGCAAAGCAATATTTCTTTTAAAAAATATTCCGTGTACTTACCTAAAATAATTTATTAATACGCATATTTTATTACAATAAAAATATTGCATACTTTTCGGAGGAAAAATTGAAAAAAAAAACTTTAACGTAATGGTAGAATTCGAATAATAATTACGTGCGTTAAAACAAATAATGGGACAAATAATAACTTTTGAATGAAAAGGCACTTACGATTGGTTTCTCGCTTTTATAACAATTTGGCAAAGTTTGTAGTTTCCGAAATATAAGGGGAAAAAAAATTTAAATATTATTAATTTCGTGAAACGTTAGTTTAGAGGGAAGGAACTTGGAAAACAATTTTCTTTTTATACGAAATAAATTATTTATTAATGGATAGAAACTGTTTAAATTTAAGATTGTTACCGTCTAACAGAAAAACTGTGTTAAAAATTTGAAAAACCGGTTCGAGATAAGGATTAAAATTGTTGCTACTTTTCTGTGTTTGCGAAATTTGAAATATGTTTGTGCTTTTGATATTATAAATTGTCAAAAAGTGGTATTCTTGCTGGTTTAAGTGACTATAACTTTTAGAAATGGAGCGAGACAGGTAAAAATTATATTCTGCAGAAAGAGGGTTTTTTGCATCTAATTGTGTATAAAATTTAAGCTTCCTATTTTAGAGGATGTGAAACAACTGGACAAAAAGAAAATATAATAAACAATTTTTTCTAATTTAGCTGAAAAAAATGATAAAAATACTTATAAGATTTTATATCTTGTTAAAATACTTTAAATATTTCGCTACATTAACGGCAAGTAATATAAGTGCTCAATTTACGAATATTACAATTATTTATTAATCAATAATAATTAATTACAGAATAATAAATAGATTTGAAATCACAATTGTTACGTGTTGCCATTTAAGGTTTTGTGCAGGTTTTGTGTTTGTATTAACCAAACCGTCATTGATTGAAAATTTTCACAGCTTATTGCGCACGTAAGAGCTGCAGTAACATGCTTGTACACATTTTAATTGATATTTTCTGTAAAAAAAAAGTAGGTTTAGTTATACATAATTGGAAAAATTTTTGTAATTAATGTTATTTAATTATTTATTGTGTTACCCAAACTAATGCTTTGTGAATGTGTGGCATACGTTCAGTTGAGGATAAGCTTCATTGACTGTGACTTTTGATACCTATTTAATTTGGATCGGATGCAATTTCTAAAGGCTTAAAGGTCAGATTTATGTTAATATGGATAGGAATAAATAAAAAATTTCTATACGGATGGACAAATAAAACAAATTAATTTTAAAATGTTAGAGTTATTCATAAATAATTTATAAATTCATTGAAATTCTTTAAGAATAAACTTTTAAATATATCTTCGAAGAATATATGGTCAAATAATTAATATGGACTCGCATTTATAAATTAATTGATTTTTTTTAAGTTGAGGCAATCCTTAATATAGTCCAAGATTACGTTTTTCCAATTCCAACTACATAATAAATTTATATATACAAATTTATATACTTTACGGAATGGCATTAACTAAACCAAAAGTGTAAAAAAGTTGAGGTTCCTTTTATATGCATATGAATATGCACACATGGTCTTGTTATTACCTGTTATACTTGTAAACGTTCAAGTTGAAACTCATATACAAAATTATAACAATTTTATATTTTTTAAAACTGATACCAAATTCACTTTCGTTTTTGATCGCTTTTACGTCATAAAAACCTGATTTATTTTATGTAAACTGGCATACGTACCCACTTTACCTTTGTTTTTGATTGTTTGCATATTTTATAATATAGTAAGGATGGTTATGGTTTATAAATAATAAAAAAAAGTCAATAAAAATTTTAATATCTCATTACTTACTGTTTAATAATATTCTAAAATTATGTTTAAAGTTTATAAAATTGGGCAACAATTTCAATTTATATTGGCATATTGTATAATATACACGTAATATACAATACGTGTCGGAATATTTATGCAGCAATTCAGAAACCGAATTTGACCAAGCTAATATACTCGTAGGTAGTTGAAGAAGTGATTTAGAATGTACATATTTATACATATAATTAAAATATTTTCGACATTGAAGAATTAGCCCATTCTAAAGGATTTCTGAAATGTTAATTAAAGTGAAAAACTTTTATGGATTTTATATTTAACAAAATATTACTTTAATTAACAAACGAAGAGGCACTTAAGTACGAGATAAATTTCGATCCTAAAAGTTGTAATTCAAAACAAGAAAACAGATAGGGGCGTGCAAAATTTTTACAGTATGTCAAATTTATAAAAAATGTCAATATTTGTGATTTTATATTTATGTGTAACTATTAAAACTTTTTTTATCACTACATACATACACACAAAATAACTAATAATCACCTGTATTATGAATTAATTTATTTTTATTAAAAATTTATGGCATGAATAAAATGTTGTTTTTTTTTTGTTTTATTTATTATGCAAAATTATTCAGTCTGCTTCTTTAATGTACAACCATAAATAATTCTATCAAATTTTTTAATCAAATACAATTTATATTTGGACAAAAAAAAAACAAATTGTAGAGATCAACTTTGAGAGATTCAATTGTCAATCTAAATATAATATTGTGCATGTTTGAGTGTGTATATTCGTTGTATATTTTACTTTATGTTTATCTTAATTAAATTTAATAGTCAATAATCAAGTAGTTGAACAAATATTTTCATTAATGCCAATAAAACACCAACTTGTCATTTACATATTTAATGTTTTTTACTACTTATTTTACTACTACAGTAATCAGCACATCCCTAAGATTTTTAATATAATTTTAAATTTTAAAGTAGAATCAATACGAGAATTGATGGCAGAGAAAAATGAGTAAGTTGCACCTTTATAATCTTGTAACTTTAGAAACGAAACGTTCCGATCTCTGAGGGAGGTCGTTAGAGTATTTTTTATTATTAAGATGTTCGGTTGGCAGAGATAACGTACGAATAAAATTTTCAATTTGTTAAAAATAGCTTTCACTTCTCCTATTATCCAGCGAATTCCACAAGCTCATAAGAATCTACCAGTTCTCTCTTCATACTCGTTAATGAATATTTTAAAAATTAATTTATCTTGAAACATAAAAACGTTGTACTTCGGATGACTTGTTTCGTAAATTATTATAGAATTTTTTTAATTAATTTGTATGAGATACCGGAAATATTTTATTATTACTAATTGCAAATTGTTTTTTCAAATTTTCCAAAATTTTTTGTACTTTTTTAATTACCATAGGAAGTAAAAACGTTGTTTGCATTAAATATTTTTAATTTTCTTATATTTTTATTGCAATTCTAGAAGGAAATGTAAATAAAATAATGTGCATTTTATTCTTATATATTTTGCTTACAATTATTGAATTCTCAAAATTACTCATCCAACTAAATCTTAAGTACAAGAATATATTTTCTTATCCATTACTTATAAAAATGAATTTGAATAAATAACGTTATTAGTTTCCTGTAAATAAAAGTTATTTACATTTCCGTATTTTATTATGCGTAAAAATATCAAAAATTTTAATTTTACCAACATTAAATTTTTAATTTTTGTATGTACTTAATGAAAATAAACAAAAGAGGAGAAAATTTCATCAAAAAATCGAAATTCGACTGATCATGATGCATAACAAGTTTTAATAATTGTATTTGAGTAGCACAATAATTATACGTTATAAAAAAATTAATACGAATCGAATTTACTTGACTGTAGTAAAGAATGAAATTTTTTAATATTAAAAAAAAAGGTTTAATCAATGGTTTACAAAACAGCACATTTACCTTTACCACGTAAAAACACAAATAATATTTTATTTACGTATAAAAATGATTCAAATTAATATACCAAAAGTACAAATTCATCTTACACGATGAAAACCAAAAGTTAGTTAAGTGACTTGTGAAACTCTAAAAAAAATTAGAAAAGTCAGTTTCAGAAAAATTCGGAAAAATATAATGTACTAAGAAAATGTGCTTTCTATAATTTCTAAATATAGTCAAACTACTTTTGAAGTTGTGTGGCAGCTAACAACAACTTTTAATGAATAAGTATAGCTGCCATTTTATCATATTTTGTTTTATAAAATTTCAGTACTGTAGGTAGAACAGTTCTTAAGATAACAGGCAAATAATTCTTCAAATTGTATGGCAGCTAACCGGACGAACCAAGAAATTTCAATGTGTTTTATCCAACACAATATAGTATATTCTGTTGCATGCTAATTCAGTACTAAAGTATAGCTTCCACAGTTTCTCAGATTTTTTTTTTTTTTTTTCAAAAAAAAAAAAAAAACCATACAAATTTTGAAGTTGTACCTCGACCATATTCAATTTAAATAGGGTTCTGGCATTTACTATAATAAATCATTTGTGAAAATGTGATGGACTTAACTCAATTAGGTTTTGAGTTATTTCTTAGCGCTACAAACGGTAAGGCAAATTTAGTATATCCCTCGAACATACGTTCGTACGGGTATATCGAGGCGCTACAAATTAAAACAAAGCTAGTAATAAAACGGGTATAATTTGGATGAGGAAGGAGTTAGGAAAAAATTGTTTTCTTAAGAAATGAATATAGCTTACAGTCTCTTAGGGAAGTGTTGCTAAAAACTAAAAACAATAAAACGGATTTAAAATAACGAGAAGGAAGTAAGTAGGGAAGTTTATTCTATAGAAAAAAGTTTCTGAACAAAATAAATTTGTGTGTAAAAATTTAGCTTTCTATATTTAAGGGAGTTGGAAGTTTTGTTAATAGACATACGGATGGATTTACGTTCAGAAGGACAAATTGTTACGTAAGGAGAT